AAAAAAAAAGAAAGAAAGAAATACCATGTAATCCATCAATCCCACTTCTAGGTATATATCCTAGAGAAATAAGAGCCAGGACACAAACAGATATATGTTCTTCACAGCATTATTCACAGCAGCAAAAAGATGGAAACCACCCTTAGGTGCCCATCCATGGTTGCATGGATAAATAAACTATGGCACATACACACAATGGAATACTACACCACGGTAAAGAACAACAATGAATCTGCAAAACACTATCACATTCATGAATCTTGGGGACCCATGGGAGTGAAATTAGTCTTTCTTCTTTCTTAATGTAAGCACTTATGGCTATGCATTTTCCTCTAAGAACTGTTTTATCTGCATCCCAGCCAAACACTGGTAGGTTGTGCTTTCATTTTCATTCTCTTCAAAGTTGTTATTTTTTAATGCCCTTGTGATTTCTCCTTTGACCCACCAGTTATTTAGAATGTGTTGCTTAATTTCCACATAGTTTTGAATTCTCTAATTCCCTTGTTATTACCGCCTAATTTCAGTGCATTGTGGTTGGACACCATGCTTCGTCTGACTTACTCCTTTTATATGCCTTGAGGTTTGTTTCATGGACTACGGTGCATCCTGGAGAAAGTTCCAAGTACTCTTGGGAAGGATGTGTGTTCCACTGTTGGGCAGGATGTCCTACAGGTTCCCATCCAGCACACTGGCTTATGTAGCCGTCGGTGGTGTCAGCTGTCATTGGGTGGGTTCCAACTTAAGACACTGCCTGGTCTTGTGCCATCACTACAACCAATGCCCATTATTTCAGCCATTGTGTCAAAAAGAGTTTTCCTCTTTTTTGTTGGACCCTGTCTACTTTAACAAGCATAATGTCCTTCTTAGGGACTGGTCCATCCTGGCATCATGTCCAAAGTACAGGAGATGACATTTTGCTGCCTTTTCTTCTAAGGAGCATTACGGCTGTACTTCTTCCAGGACGGATTTGTTCATTCTTTGGGCAGTCCATAGTATTTTTCGTGTTCTTCTCTAGCACCACAATTCAAAAGCATCAATGCTTCTTCAGTCTTCCTTATTCACTGTCCAGCTTGCACATGCATATGGAGTGACTGACAATCCCATGGTCAGGCGCACCTCGGTCCTCAAAGTGTCATCTTTGCACATATTTTGAGGGGACACAATTCCATCATAACAGGGTGCTGGTCATCCTGGCAGGAAGGCCAGAGCCCATCTGGGCAGGAGGAGTGTTATGAAGCAGAAAGAGGAGGACTCATGGGGTGGGAGAGCCGATGGGGAGCCCAGCAGCCCGGGGTTATAAACGTGGTTGGTATTGCCTCTCAAGCACTTACCAAGTTCTGTGCAGCAGGCTTATCACTGAGGGGTCATTGCTGTGTGACTTCAACAGGCCTCTTGGCCTCTCTGGGCTCCATTTCTCCATCTGCAATGACCCCCAGCTCATTGAGGAGTAGAAGACACAAGCTTCCCTCAGGTGTGTGTCCGCTGAGGAACTTCTTCCTCCCCTGCCCCCTGCCCAGGTCAGCTGCGAGCCGTCCGGAGCTTGTGTCACTTCTACAGCTGCGTGCTGCCCAGCGAGGCCCAGTGTGTCGTCTACCATGAGTTTCAGCTCTCCCTGGCCCGCAGGATGGCCGACAAGGCGCTGGAGGGGAAGCTGCTGGAGACCATCAGCCAGCTGTACCTGTCGCTGGGCACTGAGCGGTAAGGGCTGGCCCTGTGTGGTGGGGCAGGGTGGCACAGGCAGGCCCTCTCCTTGGGGACATTCCAGCCCCTGGCATCTGACATGTCCTCCAGGGAGGTCCTCTCCTTGGGGACATTCCAGCCCCTGGCATCTGAGATGTCCTCCAGGGAGGTCCTCTCCTTGGGGACATTCC